CAATTATTCAGCCTATATACACGGTTCAATTTCTTCAAATCGTCGTTGATCAATCACTGTTATCAAATTTATTAAGTGCTGGCTAGATTGCTTCAAGTGTCCCATGTCAAGCTGGGATCACAGCGGCCCGGGATTCCGCATGGTGCGACTCAAAACATCTGGGTATGCCTGCTAGGTGCTTGCGTAGACACTTGGGAGACCCTCCTCCAATCTCTCTCCACCGGGAACTCGTCCTTGATCGTCATCATGTACTACACATGCATGTCAAACAAGTCAATGCCGCCGTTCAGGTACATGCCTGCGCCCTTTAATCCGTCTCCAGAGTTGCAACTTGCAAGAGTTGGGCAGACACCAAGCGCTCGCTATAAGGAGAATACGACGCTCCCTCGCTTGCCTGCTCTCTATACAGCTCGGGGGATCATTCCTTGATGCTCTGTATCTAGTCCCTGCGAGGGCATAAAAGATACATTCACTCAGCAGTTGGTGTGGCCGCTCAGGCATAGATGCAGACGGGGAGCCAAGCCCAATAGACGATGCAACGCAGGTTTGTAGATACGAGGACAAGGCATCGCTAACTTGGAACCCAAACACGTCCATGCCTGCCATGTACTCTCGACTCGGGCTCGTCCGTCGTCGTATCGATGCTGCAGCATGCCGCCTTGCAGACGGCTTATCACCACTTTAATTTCACGTAATGGCGAGAGATTCTCGAGTCAACCATAGAGTCTCATTATGCAATATCTCACAAATATGACATGATGCTCAAGTTGAGAACGCATTGCACGCCTACTGTAACTGCCTCATATCTTGTTTCACCAAAACACATGGTGCGGGTTTGTTTCCGGCACTGCCTCCCCCCGAGAAGCAAACGGTATCCCTGGCTGTCAAGTTTTATCGTTGATGTACAGTTCCTCGACTAATCGTGGCTTCACCTGTCAGTCACCAAGCCGCGCGGGCTAAAGCGTATCCGGTTATGCCGGCGGGTGTGCACTCGGAATAACAACTACAACAATGTGCCACGGCATTCTATGGCTATCCGTGACGATGATTTCCGACTCACGGCTACCACGTTTCCACCTACTCGTGAAAATCTGTACTAAACCAAGTAGATTTTAGTATCATGATAATTGGATCGAGACATTTGGGCACTTCGTTACCCTACAGGGTAGCCCATGCGAAAAGCAGGTGGACAAGTTGCAACAAAGACTGCCCTACCTGGGTAGATAAATGAGTTTCTCTTGGAGCCGATGTCTGCTTTACATGCTTACATTCCAGCAAGTAGTTTCGTCGAGCTGCTGGATGGCCCCGAACTCTTGCATTGGGATGGTAAGAAGTGATTCTCGGACAGTACCTGTACTCCCGGCTCGGAGACATTCTTTCATATGAGGACTTTCCAGCCTCATCCTTTCAGCTTCAAGGGGAACAAAGATGATTTGTCCTCGTCCTCGATTAGAAATAGTCATCATACAGACAATCAGCTGTCCAGTTCGAATGCCGGCTCGCCACCGTTCACGCCAACCTAATAACTAATTGGTATTTATGATGGCGCAGGCGAACGAAACGTCCTCATGCTCGGTACTGGTTACTTCAGATCTACTGCCGTAACCTTGCGTTTCTGCATAGACAAGGACCGTGTAAAATGGAGACGCATAATGATCATGCATCGCAGGCACCCTCGCCTCTCACATGGTGTCCATGGTTTGGAAAAGGCAATGGAAAGTGGGTGGCTGCGGGCTGCTTTGGACTAGGAGGATGGTACCGGCCGAGCTAGTTATGGAGTTAAACCCTCTTTGTCAAGGCCGTGCCGAAGGATCGGGTGGAAAAGACGCAATGTGATTGCATGTTTGAGTGAGAATGGCCGGAAGGTTGGAACTTGGATGTTGCAGACGAGCACACAAGCGGCTGGCTTGGCGCGGTTTTGCGCTCGCAGGGTTCCCAAGTTCCCAAAATCAACTTCCCCTCTTCCCCTCTTCCCCACCAGCAGAACAACAGACAGACATTCTCGAAAATCGTCATGCCACACACAAGTCGGCCGTTAGTCGTTCTTGAGTCTCGACGACGTTAGCTGATCCCCGCCCAATGCGCATTTCACTCCGGCCGTTGACTATCGGAATTTATCCATATACAGGTTCCTCCTGCCTGATGTGGCAAGGACACACCGAAAAAGAAATAAAACATAGAAGGCAGGGAACAAAGGCCAACCCAGGCCTCCATCTGTTGCCCCAACTCCGTATCAAAGGGTCGAAATGTGGTGGTGCCATCCTAGGGTGCCGCCGCCTCCCGGCACATGACGTTGGCGAAACACCAAACGGCGCTCCAGCGAACCCTGTGGCAGTCTTCGAAACAAAGACGCCACTCCAACGAGGGACCGACCCCCTTTTCCTTTTCCACCTGGATAGGTGCTGACGTTGTGCAATTGGCGCTGGATGGCGACCTGATGGGTAGCCGTGGTTGACTCGAGGGTTTCAACTGCCCACCCTCAACTTTGACGATTGGATGGTGGGCATTAGATTTCGGCGCAAAGAGATACCATGATGAGCCCACCCTGACTAGAAGAAGGGGCCCGGTAGGAAGGGTGTACCCACGCATGTACATGCATGCTATACGGAATATTAATTGGGGGCAGATATGATCTACAAGTGCCAAGCGTGACACACAAACTTGAAGTCGAGTGAGGGTGAAGTTCGGTACGTACGCTAATTCAGGATTCACGCCCGGGTCATCCGTCAAGCAGGAAGGCGACGGCTGGAACAAAGCACTTGGGGCTACGGAGTATTGTCTGGTAGCATTGTATCAGAGCAGCCCAACATTGGGAACCCAACGTCGAACTTGGCATCCGATAGACCCGATGCTGGTGTAGGAACGGCAGAGGCCAGCCCAACTGTTCCAGCCCACGGCAGCGAGCGGCAGTGAATTGATTCAGGAGATTGAACAAATATCGGAGGGCTCCATACCTCCATACACGCGCGACTGGACCATCAGGGCTCCGTAGAAGGGGCTGAGAAGCCGATTGAATTAAACAAGTCGCTTCGTGCATGTACTTGCAGGCAGCCACACGCAGGTCCAGGTTGGCGATGATGATGATGTTGATGATGGTGGCGATAGCTGCATCTCGACGGCGAGATAACTACATACTCGCCTAGGTAGGTGCCTACATGGCAGAGCACATCCATGGACTCCGTACTTTTGGGTGCCATCAAAAACAAGCCATGCTTTGCAGCCCAACTTCTGCCAGACAGGCCCAGAGACTAGACATGGCCCTAGTCTAGCGTTGTCTACTCGGAAATTTAGCCCTTGGGATACCTATTGAATACCAACCCAGGAGGTATTACTAAAAGTACATGTAGCCTTCTTGAGTAAGACTGGTGTCAATTCGTTTGACGGTAAAGTTTTGGACGCGGCCCCAAATGCCCCAGTGCCTGTTCATATCACCACCAGACCAGTTTGATCCCCTGCCCCTCCACTAGCGGACCGCCAAACGGACCAGTGGCCTGCACCCACTCACACCCTCACACTCACACGCTTGCTTGCTTGCTTGCTTGCCTGTGTCGCCACGTCTCTTGCAGCCGCTGTGCACTGGTTCATGCGTCGGGGCTCAAGCCTCTCTCTATCCGAACGTTGAATGCCAACCGGTTTCCCCGTCGCTCGACGATGAATAGCACCAGGGGACCAAGGCACGCGGGTTGCAAAAAAGGCCGCACACCCCGCACCTACAACCACGCACACAGGTGTGCGGCCTTTTTTGCAACCCGCGTGCAAGGGAACCAAGGGACCAGGCACGTAATAGATTGACTCTGGCCGTCCGCCCCCAGAGTCCCTGTTTCTATGGTCTTGTCTGATCTGCCGGCTTCTTGCTTCGCCTGGCCCAGAAATCTGTCTGCTTGGCCGTACCGAGTACGATACGCCTGCATCTGCACACCAGACTCGGTCTGCCTCACTTCCGTCACAGGCAGGCACCAGTGCTGTCACGGCCATCTCTCGCCAAGAATAAAGACAATAGCCGGCGAGCCTCTGGCCTCTGCGCTGCATGAAGCATTACTCACCAACCAACTTCCTCATTGCTCGACAAGAACACCACCCGTGCTCGCTGGAGAAGAGTGAGGCAGGCAGGTAGTCTCGATCCCACAGACCCACGCGCCCCACTTTGAGTTGCGCGGACCTGAGCCATTGAGAGCCACTCTGGAACAGCGGGCAATTGCCCTGGGGCCCCCGAGTGTTTCCTGGGCATTGCGCACTCTCGCACTGAGCAGGGGAAAAAGCACTGGGACACTAGGACGTTGGAACGCTGGACCGTTGGCTGTGGTCACCTCACCTTGCATTGAGCAACCTCGACCTCGGCCTCGACCGCCTTAATTGAGCTGTCTGGTCCCCCCAAATTAACATACATCGAACTACTTGCGTCTGCATCGTCGCCTGCAGCATCTCTCAGCTCGCCCCCGAATTGACGGTGCCTGTCGCCTGCTCCTCGACGTCGTTGGTTCGACTTGTCGGGACTTACCCATTAGACGGTAATTTTCCACATCGTTGCTGACCGCGAGTCGTTCGGTAACGATTTGAGCTGAGATAGGGGTCGCCTTCCCCTCCAAAAACCCGCCCCGACTGCGTCTACCACCGCCTTCGTTGGTCTGCGCACCCAAGAAGGAAAAAAAACACCTACACTCGACCTGCCGTCTCCTCCCGCGCTATCCAACATCTGTTCCCTGCCAGAGGACGGGCAGCTGCATTTCTCGCCTTCTCGTGAATCGTCTCGCCTGACCATTGTTTGTTGAATGACGCGACAAAGGGCACAAATCTGAGACCACTCCGTGCCAGAAGGGAGGGCGTGACAAACAAAGACAACGCCATTCGTTGACGAACGAACATACGGTCATCCTCCATACGACTGCACTTTGGCTACGACGAGTAACCCCTCATTCCTACACCTCGACGACAAAGCACTTGTGCCCTCCATTGTTCGCGCCGGGGCTTTCATTTCTCCTGGACGCATGGAGTAAACGGACATGGCCCATGCCCCTCTGCTTCGAAATAACACCGCTCCGGTCTTCCACCCCAACCAGAGCGGCGTCGGCGTCCTCTCACACAACAACATGAACAGTGTGCCCCGCGGTAGCCAGCTGTCGGGGTCGACGGCGTATACCAGTTCATCGACGTCGCTGCATTCACTGAGTAGTGCTGCAACCGTGGTTCCAGGGCAGAATGGCGGATCTGTCGTGGCCACGGCCAACATCATCAATCAAAAGGCGGATGCTTCGCGATCGCTCTACCAGATTTGTGTGTCTCTCAAACAACGATTAAGTCAAGTACCCGGTTTTGGACCCTTTCTCGAGCAACTTGACCCTACCGATCCTGTCGACCCCTTGTGGAATCTGTTCCGGTCAGGGTATCCCCTTCTCACAATCTACAACTCGCTACAGCCCACAGAACCGCTCAAGGTGGAGGATCCAAATGCATCAGAAGCGAAGAAGTCCAAGATTGCCATTTTCAAGTTTGTGCAGGCGTGTATGAAGGAATTGCAAGTCCCCCCCGCCCAGAGTTTTGTCATTACAGATTTGATGGGAAACGATACAAGCGGTTTCGTCAAGGTTACGCAGGTCGTCAACTACGTGCTTGATCTCGCAGAGCAACGTGGCCTATTGCTACAGCTTCAACCTTATCCCGAGGACGAGCCTGTCGTCGCAACAGGGGGCGCGCAAATGAGCTACAGGGATCACATTGTCAAAGAACTGGTTGATACCGAGCGAAAATATGTCCAGGACCTGGAAAACTTGCACGACCTGAAAAAGACGTTGGAACAAAAGGGACTAATCCCAGGAGATGTTGTGCACCAAATCTTTCTGAACATCAACGCGATTCTCGATTTTCAGCGACGATTTCTCATTCGAGTCGAAACAACAAACTCCTTGCCAAAGGCCGTCCAGCGATGGGGTGCCCCGTTTTGTTTCTACGAAGATGCCTTTGACATCTACCAGCCCTTTATCGCCAATCAGCGCAAGGCTGCTCAAATCGCCAACCAAGTTTTCGAGAAAATTCAACAATCAGAGCACCCTGTTGCCGCAGACTTCAACACACTGGACGGATTTTTGCTAAAACCTATGCAGCGGTTGGTGAAATATCCATTGTTGCTCAAGGACCTCGCCAAAAAGTCGGAAGACGAGGAAGTCAAAGACGATCTAAACACTGGGTGTGAAGCCGCGGAACGAGTTTTACTCAAAGCCAACGAAGCCGTAAACCGGGACCTTCTTGATGAAGCACTGGAGGAACTCATCACTCGGGTAGACGATTGGAAGTCACATAAAGTGGAATCATTCGGCAAGCTACTCCTGCACGGTGTGTATGGTGTCATTACTGGCAAGAGTGATCAAGAGAAGGATGTACGTAATGGCCCCGTTCCATGTTGGCGTCGGGAGAAACTAACGTTTTCTTGATACAGTATGAAATTTACCTTTTTGAATGCATTTTGCTATGTTGCAAGGAAGCCTCCGGCAAGAAAGACAAGACGCGATCCACGGGTCCCAAAATCAGGAATAAGAACGCAAAGCTCCAGCTCAAGGGCAGAATCTTCATGACTAATGTGACTGACATTGTGTCCCTTTCAAAACCTGGTAGGTGGCGCGAACACTAAAATGGACCGACTGATTGCGTTTTTCTTCTTCTTTTGTTTTGCTAACCACTCTAGTAGGTTCTCACAGCGTTCAGATTTGGTGGAAGGGTGACCCTGGCGTCGAGAATTTCACGATCAAGTTCCTTAATGAGGAGACAATGAGGAAATGGGCGGGCGGATTAGAGATGCAGAGGAAGGAAAATGCGCCACGGCTCTCCACCAGCCAAGAATGCATCAACAACGACTTTGCATGGACCAGGGACCAAGCCGGCGGCCTCGAGAACCCCTATTTACAGCAGGACGAAGAAGATGACGAAGACTATGGACCAGCAACGGCGCCGGCACAGTTTCCAATGCCTGCATCGATGGGCACCGCTGTGCCTCGCACCTCTTCAAGCTCCAGTCTGAGACAACGTTCTGCCACAGGGGAGAGCACACAATCCCTTGCAGGCATCGCAAGAGCTCCACCGCCGCGTTTCCCATTGCCTATGCCGCCCGCTCCCCTCAATCTGCAGACCCAAACCAATGGCGCCCAATCTCCCGGCTCGAGGGGAGGAGACAGCTACTTCTCCCCAGTGGCCGAGTCTCCAGCGTCTTCTCGTACAAGCACCACGAGCGGCATCTTCCCTGGGCCTGCTTATCAGTTCCCTCCCAAGGCTGGCACACCACAGGCCGTTTGGGACGACCCGCGTTATTCTCCATCCATGCCACGGGCCCCATCACGAGATGGTTCCTCCCCCAATCCGATGGGCATGGGTAGCAGAACCGCTCGTGGACCGTCTCTGCCCGCTATGGCCACGCATAGTCAAACTGCGGCTCAGCAACAAAGAAGTAGGTCTTACAGCACACCGGATGTGAATGTTGCAGGTATCCCTCGACATCGTCAACCGAGCCAGAGCAATATTCCAGCCGTACCTGGCATTCCTCAGCACTTACACCCAGCGCATGACGGCAACATCCCTCGATCGCAAACAGGCTCGCCTCGCAATGATTTACCAATTCGAACCAGCACACAAAGCCCCGGAGCCCATCGTGAGCGAATGCACCAGCACTCGGGAAGCCTCGGGGGTACGATGTCTCATTTTCCTCCTCAACCACCCTATCCGCGTGGAAACACACCCATCGGCGGCAACGGGTTGCGAGTCGACTCTGCCACTGCGAATTCACGCAACGTGTCCCCATCCCTCGGCACCGGGACGCTCCCTCCGACTGGCAACTCCGTGGCAAGCCCAGATTTGCCCATGCCCACGCAGTTGAAAGTTAGGGTCAACTGTGATAGCGGAAATTATGTGACGCTTGTGGTTGCATTTAATATCACGTATCAATCCTTGATTGATCGAATTGACGCTAAACTTTCACGATTCATGACGAGCAGCATTGGCAAGGGTATGCTGAAGCTCCGGTACCGTGATGAAGATGGCGACTTTGTCACCATTGAAAGCGATGACGATATTCAGATTGCCTTTATGGAGTGGCGCGAGGGAGCTCGAAACATGTATTCTGGTGGCGTTGGAGAGATAGAGCTCTTTTGTCTTGGAGAAGGCCAATGAGACTGCCACGTCACAAATTGGCCTTGTTATTCTCATGGGCGCGGCTACGAAGTTATTGAGTGCATTTACCGACGGCATTTGTCACGAGTAGGCGTTCAAGAACATGCCGGCATTCGCAACCCTGGCGCGTAGAGTCCCTCTCGAATTCCGAACGACGCCTCCGAACACGGACATTTCTTCCCTATTCTGCCCTCCCTCGCCCATCTGGCAGTGAATTCATCATATTGACACTGCATCGCAGCGACTAGTATGTCCCCAAGAGTTTCCGACTTGACCGGCAGTTGACTTGTTGATGCTGGACGCCATTCTGAATCTTTGATCCTGACACTTTTTTTTTTATTTTTTTATTTTTTGTTTGGACTGCCACAGCCTGTTTCGCGACGGTGTGTCTTCTCACCCTGGCCGAGTAGCAGACTTTGTTGCCTCAAGATTGCTTGTATTTGGACTCGGTCCATTTCATTGGATGTGCATTCTGTAGAGACATTACCGCAAGGCTGTAGCATGGCATCATATTCTCATCTTTTGGGCAAATTTTATGGACATGATTTATAGGCGCTACTGGGAGGTTCGCGGAGCCAGGCATTGGAGGCTGGGCGCATCCTGGGTTTCACTCTTTTTCTTTTTCCATTTTGGTCTGAAAGTATATACGGCCACACACTCGTTTGGGATTGTATCTTCCTGTTATTTCCCCCTGCCTTCTGCCCATCCTCTGATCTCAAGTTTTTCTTTTCTTCCTCTTTTTTTTTTGGCGCTCTGTGGACACTGAGCTGGATTTTCTTTTGTTAGCGGCTGCAAAGCTGGATAGACAGATGGTGGCATGGAGAGCTGGAACAGTTTGGGGTTGTGCATAGGTAGATCTGGAATTGGAGGTAATGAGGCTTCTCAGCCTGAAGTTACATAGATACTGACTCGGGCACTTGGCTGTTCTGATGAGCGATTTAGAAATTCGTTGTGAATGAATTGGTCATGGATGTTGCAAATAGTATGCCAACCCGTAGTCTTGTACAGCTGTGATTTCCACGGTGATCCATGATGTCAAGTCTTATCGTACACCAGCCGTCAATGGGCCGTTCGCTCCCCGTACAATGTATGGTATTACAAAAAAAAAAGCCAATGAAAACGCCGTGAATGCACAAAGCTCCAGGGGACAAGGCGCATATGTACTCGATCATTCTTTTTCGCCCAAATTGCACCCCCTGCCCCCGTCCAACAAGCGCATATACAGCCTTCTTTCATGTTTGACAGTCAACGCGGGTTTCTTTTTACTTTTGCTTCCGTGGACTCGTAACGTGCTTTTGCATTCTCGAAAGGTGGTAATTGATGGTGTTTGCGGGCGCGGGCGGCGGCGCAGGCCCATCCATACATTTCCGGAGCTGGTTCTCGATGGCGGCGCAGCCGGAGGCGTTGTAGCCCGCGGAAGCCCAGCATGCTGCACGTTTTGAATATTTTCCCATTGTCAGCCGCATTTGCGTGTGGGCAACGATTGCGCGTGTTGACCACCGGGCTGAAGGGGGAGGGGGGAGGGGGGAACGTACCGAGCACGCTGGACATTATTGCAATGCATGGGTTTTCGGGCTGTCGCTTGGGGTTGTGCACGCGCAGGGTTTTGAGGGGCGGTAGCCGGATGGGCTTGTGGCCGCCGGACATGGTGTCTGTGGTGATGGCCGAAACGGGAGTCGGTCGGATGGGGGGGTTGTGAAGCGATATCGCGTGGTGGCTGTTGGTGTTGATGGGAGCTTTTGGAAGGATTTGGCTGCTATGTGATCACGTGATATAAGAGGTTGTGTGGTCACGTGTTTGGTTTTGATGTTTTGAGTTGTTATTGTTCCGGTGAACGATTCTTTTCTCTCTTTGAGAAGTTTGGTGATATTTATCGCTGCTTGATGGTAGGCTAATTGGATTGTAAAGCGTGGTTTGTTATGAGGGTGTTCGGGTCGGTGTTTGGACACAAAGGTGAGCAAGATGACTTTCATGCGGGCAGAAGAGACGGTTGTTCTATACTACCGCGGGTATCATGCGAAACGAGAGAATCACTAGCTACAAATAATAGCAAGTATACCAGAATACGGGCCACGTGCTTGCTTGCCCCATCTCGTCTTGTGAGATGCCGTGCGGCCGTCGCAGAGCCGCCGGCAGGGTTGCATGGGATGACATGTTTGGCCTCACAACCAAGTCGGCAGCAACTCCTTCTCCCGTTTATACGCCGGCGGCGGCTCTGCGGGCTTCGGTCCCTCGGAGAATCTCCCAGATATGCTCCCCTTGCTTTTCTTCTTACCCCAGGCGCTGTTGGTGGGTGTGGCTTTGGGCCCGTCCTTGTTTCCCGTCTTGCCGAGCTTCTTGTTGCGGCGCCGTCGAACGAACAAGTGCAGGCCGACTATCATGAGCGTGCAGGGGATGGCGACGCAGAAGCCGATGATGAACTTGGTGCTTTGATCGGATCCGCCTGCGTTCTTGGGCGCCAGCTGTTTCTGCGGAGGCGCGGTTGAATATTGGCTTGGCATATTTGTCAGGTGTTGTTGAGTTAAAAAAGGTGCGAGGGGAATATTTACTTGGTTCGAAGTTTGGATAATCAATTTTCCATCTTTTTCTTTGGAAGACGTCGCGCCTGTCGGTTGGTCTTGATGGCGTGTAAGTGAGGACAAGGCGGGTGTGCGTCATGAACCCGTGCACATTTGCCTTTGAGCCATGGGGGAATGGATGCCTGGTCCTGAAATGCGGCTGCTTGTTCTTTGGATCTGGACTTTGTTGGATATTGACTACCATTCCGGCAATTCCCCCAAGGTATGCCGAGACGCTGATGTGGCTTTGATGACGTCGAGATGCACACGTTGGGATGAGACTTGGTTCTGCAACTGGTGGGAAAAATCATATCGAGCATGACACTACGTCTTTGCAAGAGTAAATAATGCGTAGTTATTCTGAGGATAATGCCAACAGACAGCGAGGCACGAGTTGGTTCTTTGTTCTTGTTTGAAGGGGATACCCGATTTGACAGATGGTTGCTCATGCCGGATCGAGATGTGCTCAAGTTGGTTGATGCCAAGGCTGATTGACATGCATTGCTAGTCTTTTTAGGCACAAAGTATGCGCATCTTCAATCAAGTACTGGGAAAACATGGCTGCGGCAACCGGAAATAGAAAGTCCCTTGCGCGTGCCAGTCTTGTCGTCGACGACACTTGGACAAGAATCACAGCACTTCATGATCTTGGAGACGAACTAGCTTTCTTCCCGGATGATGTACGGCTAGAATTAAACAACAGTGTCTCACTAAGCGGCAGGGAAATTCCTGCAGGAGATGCTCCCAAGCCTCCTTGTCCCAATGCCAGACTTTAAGCCAAACTTGGAGCTTGATTCCAAAGACATTCGGGACTCGCCCCATCCAAAGCCCGTGAGCAATAAAACATAGGGAAATACAAAGACCAAAGACTAGCAGACGGACCAACCACGCCCCCGATTCTCTCCAAAAGCCAATACATGCCCTAAAGTAACCCTACAGCTGTGGCTTCCCAGTTTCCTTGGATCCATGTGCCTTGGTAGTTGAAGGCTTCCCAGTCTCCTTGGGTCCATGTCCCTCAGTAGATGAAGGCTTTCCCGTTTCCTTGGGCTCATGTGCCTGGGTAACGGAAGGCTTCCCAGTCTCCTTGCACCAATGTCCCCTGGTGGGTGAAGGCTTCTTCTCGGCGTCCCTGAAGGCTTCGCACAGATTGGAGCACGGCCACAGTCGACACACGACGGTGCAGAAATGGTACGTGTCAACACGTGGCTTTCGAAGTTCAGGGCGCACTGGCACCGTCTTGTTTAGCATCGGGTCTTCCAAGATGAGCTGACGCTTGGCCTGCTGAACCGTAATCCCCTGGGCGGCCTGAGGACCGAGGGTATAAGTCTTCCGAAACTGGCTCTTGGCCGCTCCAGTGCGCAATGGAGCAACTACTTTATAGTAGTCGGTCGTATCCCGATGAGGGACATCGGGGACGGCCCCCTCGGTGTGGACGACGGGGGCGGCGTTGCCCAGAGCAATGGCAGAGGTGGCTGCGAGAACGGTGGCGAATCGCATTTTGAAGTATGGATGTGTCTTGCAGTTCAGTGGCTGAAAAGCGATTTGTAGGTTGAAGAATGTAGCTGCAAGAGGCGGGTTATCGTGTATAAAGGAGATGGTCTTCGTTGGCGGGTGAAGGACGAGCGAGATAGAATTTCTTTCCCCTTTTCGCCGGGAGGGCGCGACAGCCTTTTATGTGATTTCTTCCGAGTCCTTGGCTTCGAGTGAAGCGCATTGCCTTTGCCGATGCGTATTGGTGAAAAGGTTGTGTGTCTTTATGTATCGGTATAGTTCTAAATAGACTGCAACCGCGTGAGTCTGTGGCGCTAGGCGCTGCTTTGGAGAGCAAGACAAGTACACTTGGTTCCGTAGTAGATGCAAGCCAGCAGGGTTTAGCCTCTTGCCACATGCTTGGAAAAAATGTCAAGTTGGATTAGACTCTGAACTTGCAATGGGGTGGACGCGGCTTCAACACCGGTGTGAGTGAAAGCGTAACACGTACGCGACCAACACATGCCGGCTCGAACGTTGTGGCCGACACAGCAGAGACTAAAGCTGGATAGGTGAAGCGGGATTGTAGCAAGCTACCAAGACACACATACACACAAAGCAAAAAAGATGGCCCTTTTCTCATCTTTTCCGGGGGCGAGGCTAATGGTTACAGGCTGATCGAACAGTAGAGGATAAGCAGTACCCTTAGCTTTTCGTAAATAACTACCTACCTAGCAGGTGGGTAATAGATGTAATTAATTCTAGCCTGCAAAAACCGCTGTTTGTAAGAGCGAGTCTTTGAGCTCTACCAGCGGTTTAATTAAATCCATTGGTGCGTCGGACGTACCTTTTCTAGCACTTTACAGTAATTCTACCAAGATTTCCCCGAGCCGTCTTTTAGTCCGGCCCGAGTCTCGAGTTAGTGAAGCAAGTTGTAGTCTTGTATTACAAAAGACCTACTAATTAAGTTACGGCTATATTCCATACCTCGTTATTCTATCGCTAGGTTTGTTCTTGTAGTACTAGCGAGGTAGCTCTCTTATAAAAACAGTTTAGGACCGCATAACTAATAATATTCTGCCGTACAAATAGCATGACTTGAACGTAGTAATTAATAATAATGGGTCTTCTTCCTAACAAGGTAATCTCATATAACGCTGAAACCCCTGCTCTTGTCTTATAATAAATATGCCAAGGGTCTCCTAGCCTCCAGTTCTAAGCCTGTATTACTGTAGTATAAGTCCGCTTCTGCTCTTTAAAATGATCCAACTTTTCTCAGACGGAAAATCTAGTCAAGTATATTTATCAGCACTGTGCATTGTAAAAATGCAATTTTTTATACTCTTCCTTCTTATTATCGGACCGTCCAGCGCCAGCCTGGAGATTCGTCAAGCACCGCCCCCCATACAGAAATCCGATCCACCAGGCAAACAAATTGCCGACGCAGCACGTAAGGGCATAGCAAATTGGGGGCCAAACGATGCACTGAAGCCCAAGGGCTCTCAAGGCCCTCTGAGAGAAATGCCCTGGGGTCTAGGCGTGCCTCAGCCTCCATCCAAGCCCTTTGATCCGTCTATCAAAATTGGAGTGACGAGAGTACCAGGTGAGCCTCTTGGACCAAAGAAGAAGTGCAAACCGTGCAAAAGGAAGAGGCAGCTTTGTTGTGGCAGCACAGGCGGGTCTACAAAGCCGTTGAAAGGGTCCTCCAAGACTGGTCAAGGCCGTCCGGCTTACAAGTCCAGCAAAATGCAGGTGACCAAGGCGGGGGTGGGAAAGGCAAGTGCTTTTCTTATCTTGTCACCGTATGTGCGTGACTTGCTTGAACTGTTGGAGGAGTGGGATCGCCCTATTGGAGACGCTGTACGCTGGTTGAACAGTGCGACAGCCTCTATCCAGGAGGCCATTGGAGGTCCCGCGCGGGATGATATTTACGGGAATGACCTAAAGGCAGCGTTGATATGTGCGTTGAAAGGAGGAAACGCGAAGGATTATATTGCCGGACGAAAGAATAAGATATGCATCCCCAAGGCTGATGAATTCAAGGAAAAACTTGAGGAGGATATTAAGGAGGGAAAGCTCGATGAGCTCATTGCGGTGTGTCAAAACTGGGAGACGCATGTGAATGAAAATAAGCCCGTTGAAGAATGGTTTAAGGGCTACTGTGCGGCGTTTCATCGCACCGACGAATATGCGGAGCGGATATGGGAGACGGGGCTTAACGCGCTCTTGGATTCTTGTTCTGAATTTGGGATTAATGCTCCCGAGAATGAAGATGTTTGGACTGAACTGGAAGAGCGCTGTACGGCGTTCCAAGCAGATGTAGAGAGTGTGGAGAAGGCAGCGAAAAAACCGGCCGAAGGAATCCCAAAGATAATAGCTGGGAGATGCAAGGTAAGCTGTTGTGAAACAATACCGCACCTCAGTAATTGGAACTGACCGCAAATGTAGTGTGATGCCTATAACTTGCCACCATCTACCGACCCCTGCCTCAACACTTGTCTGGCTTGCTTTCTCTTGGGCGGTTTCCAGCTGGAAGTGAGTGACCAAGAGATAACCCCCGAGCTACCAAAGAAGTGTCAGGACTCGACCGGCGAAATCCCCTGTGGAGGCGGGCAGACGACAGCAGAGCTCCAGACGGGCCGTACTGTTTGTGCAGTTTGCGCGTACGCTTGGGATCCGGAGGGCGGCAAATGCAGGGATGTGAACGGGGTCCTCGTGTGGCCGCGACCTCCATCTGCCAATACTGAACCATCGAGCCCTCCGGAGTCACCAGGCAAGTGTCGCGACTCGACTGGCCAAATCCCATGTGGAGGCGGGCAGACGACGGCAGAGCTTGAGACGGGCCATGTTGTCTGTGGAGTTTGCGGGTTTACCTGGGACCCGGAGGGCGGCAAATGCAGGGATAAGGCCGGAGCGGTTATCTGGGGGCGAGAGTCGTAGCCACAGTTGTGGTGGTTAGCTAGCTAGTTATTTGCGTGTTTGGTGGTTGTGGACATTGCATGTTTACCCACAAGGGGCTCGGCTCGTCGTCGTCATGAATAGATGTTGATAGCAGCCTGAACAGCCTTGACGCTTCAATATGGTGCCACGTGCATGTGCTCCTTTGCCCCAAGCTTTGACCGAGCCGCCTTGCTCTTGTATATGTCACGGTGTTGTCTTTGTGATGCTAGCCCTAACGTTCCTTCTCATATTCCGTAGCCAACCGCAAAGGTAGACAGCTTCATCGTGACATACTCGTGTTGTCGCTATATCGCGAGGAGGTTTATTGTTGGCGTTGCGACGCTGTTCCAGTTGATCTTGCGGATCGTCGATAGCTCGCTGCTGCGTATTACGTGTGTGCCATTAGGGCCAGATTCAATGAAGCCGGGAAGATCTCGTTGATCCGTCTCCTTCGGGAACGATGAAAGGGCATCCTCGGATTGGTCAAGAACTACCGCTGGATTATCCGGGAAAAGGCCACAGTGAATTCTCCCCAGGCGCTAAGAATTGTGCGTTACTTGAGCATTCGATTCCGAACCTCTTGAAGATATTATAACAAGTCTGGTCGATCTTCCCAGAGTCGGTCGCCCCGTTGGCGACTTCACGATGAAGCCATGTTGGAAGCACGAGGCGGCGATGCAGGACCTCTTCTCGTCTCGAAGCATGAGCCTCCGGGCGTGGACTGACGTTGCGTTGAGACGCCATGGCGGCCGGTTCGCGGACACACCACATTTTCGCATTCATCATGTTCAACATTGGCGTGTGGTCGAGGATCCGTCGCTTCAGCATGTCGAGTGAGACTAGGAAGAACTTGGGCAACATTTGGAGGTGAAGCGCATCGTACGGTCCCTGAATGCGGAGAAGCTAGCGGCAGCTAGCGGGGAGCCGGAGCATGGTTACCGACAGCCTACATGTATGGTCATAAATATTCGACGGCTAGCCTAATTAGGATGGTTTGATGCAGCACAACGCCATAGAAGGGTTAGGGTTGAGAGACTTCAAGGGGTCGAGCAGATACCCCGGACGAGTTCACGAACAGCAGCACATCGGTCTGGTGCTCTAATTGCAGCAGCCGTCAACTGCAACATATCGGTCGCACATTTTTTTAAAGCCAAGAACTAAGCCAGCGCCTCTGCCGCCATTTACTGCAATGGCCGGATGTTTGTCCTCACGGCCAAGTTCGTCCTGTATACAACCGAGCGGTGCATCATCCCGTGCAGGAGCAGGCATCTATACGAACTTCAGAAACTTCAGCTCAATACCATCTCCTTACAAGCCTCAAGCATCAGCATCCAAGTCACCCGTTCTTAATAGGCGCAATCAGTCTCCTCCGTCGCACATCGTCAAAGCAACCGCCACGGGACCCTCCGTAAATTTCGCAATCCACGTAAAACCACAGACCGTCACACAATACAACCGTAAGCCCCAAACATAGTCAGCCAGCTGCCATTCTCCCTTATTCACCCAACACGCCGTACCGAGTAAAGAATGGCATAACAATACCCGGCAACCCCGAAACCGGCAGCCACCACGTTTCCTCCAAGCCATCAAGAGGTCAAAGTGGGGTGGGTGGTAGATGTGAAAGGTCCGCCCAACCTTGATGCGTGGCCCATCATATTGGGCACAAAAGTTTTTGACTTGGAGCTTGAGCCATGACATGTGCCGGTCTAGCGTGAGAACACACGTGGCCGTGGTGGGTGAGCTGGAAAGGGGGGAATGAGGTTTTTCAGAATATTACACGATAGAAAGGAAATAAAGAAAAATTATCCGTACTCCTGATGGTGTAGTCATCTCGATGACATCGTAGGCATTGCCGAATGTTCACCAGTATGCCTCAGTATTCTAGCAGCCCAAGGCCCCCATATGCAGACTCCTTTTCGGGTCAAGTACTTTTTGCCTCTACGGTTGATGGCTGGAATAAGGCAAATCATGGACACCAGTCACTTGGACACACAAACTAAAATAAAACTTATGGTATTCCTGCCATTCAGTGCCGACATCCTGTCAGCTGCCAGTGCATCCTCCGTGACAAATTTGTTATCCTGAGCCACAATGCAATGTACATGCTAAAGCGAAAGTAGTTTTAACAAAAAAGGGTCCTCAAAACTCCGAGTGAGTACGCATTCTCTCCTCTAAACAAAATTAAGGGTCTCTGATGTCAGAGCTGTCAAAGTTCGCTATCGTGTATTCGTCGCGAGTTTGAGTGGATATAAGAAGTCTATCGTCTTGATGCGGTGATGCGATGATGTAGAAGCCAAGGGTAGACTTGAGGCCGTATAATTGTGACGTATTGGCTCCTGGCCATGCCGTCAACTTTTACGGTCCCGAGTTCGTCACCTGAAGATCCAGCTTGATATGAATAGGATAAAGGAGTCCAGAACTTGAAAGGTCTTTTCGCGCAAGAGTCTTCACTGTCGGTGGTTCTTGGATCCCTTGTAATGTCTCCTTACGCGCTCGCGACCTCGTCTCTCTTCGTCCTGGCTGTGCTCGGCTCTTCCATCGTCGCTTCCACTGCTCAGTCGTCGACGGTCTTCCTCATACCACGCGCTGAGTGATTTCCCACCAAACATTAAGTCTTCGTCGTCAATAACAATCGGTTGTATCCATGCATACGAGTTGAGATCGACCTCGCGCGCAGAGCTGTCTAGAGCAAGCATGTTTGGAACGAGGTAGTATGTGGGTTCCTGTTTGGGAGACATGGTGGTGGAGGATGTGTGAGTCTGGGTATTTGGTTGCAATGTGGGTTGCGTCGCGTCTTGGTTCGTCGCGTCTTGATGTTGTTTGTTGGTTCGCTGGTCTTTGATGGGGATTGCCAGCGTGAAGGCAATAACAAAAATATCTTCTTTTTGTGTAAAGAAGATATTTTTAGACTGTGCGGGATGGTTGATGTTTGAGTCAAAGAGATGAGATGGAAAGGAGATGGAGTCTTTGTTATCAAGAATCGGAGTTGGATAGTGGCGGGTCCAAAATTATTCAAGCTGGAGCTCAGAGGGGCAAAAGTAACGAGATCCAGTAAACAGACGCAGCAAAATGTGGGGTCATGAACCGTAGCGCTGGGCTGCGGAGCAGAAGCGTCGTGTTTGAAGTCTCAGCTGAAGCAAATAGACTGCCAGCGTGCTGAATTCAATATTTCAGCTGCGAGTCCCGACCGCGTGTCGACTCCGGAGATTTTCTTTTGAGGTTGAGGGTTCAAGCAACACAAAAAAGGAGGTTTGAGATTTTATGAAAATTAGAAAAAAAAAAAAAGAAAAAAAAAAGGAGTCTGGGGCGCCGGCCCCGGACGAGGCATGAATATGTGTGCAGCAAAATGTGGGGTCATGAACCGTAGCGCTGGGCTGCGGAGCAGAAGCGTCGTGTTTGAAGTCTCAGCTGAAGCAAATAGACTGCCAGCGTGCTGAATTCAATATTTCAGCTGCGAGTCCCGACCGCGTGTCGACTCCGGAGATTTTCTTTTGAGGTTGAGGGTTCAAGCAACACAAAAAAGGAGGTTTGAGATTTTATGAAAATTAAAAAAAAAAAAAAGAAAAAAAAAAGGAGTCTGGGGCGCCGGCACCGGACGAGTCATGAATATGTGTGAGCGTCTTTTCGACTCTCAGCGCTGCGACCCTCGGCCGGTGGCACCGGGACCAGTCGGAAGAGGGATTCAGCAATGTTGGGGAACGTGTCAGAGCGGGATGAAGACAGTGCTCCAGTGCCCACAAGCGTTGTTTGATCCGAGGTGAAGAGATGGGGTGTGGTGGAGGGCTGGTGGCGGACGCCGTCAGACTGTTGGTGAGGAGCCAAGTGGGAGCTCCGACTCATGCGGTTGCGCTGGGTGCACCGTGAACCAGGAAGACGGAGTGATTCCGACGCTCTGGCTGGCGTACGATTGCGAGATATCAATGGGCGTGTCCCATAGAGCTGACCGAGAGCCTGTTGGTGCTTTCGGTCAGTAGATGCTTGTATTTCAAGTGCGCAGGCACAAGTACTTTGAGGATGCGATGCAGATGCAAATGCGAAGGGAAGAAGGAAGGAAGGGAGGAGTTAGGCGCATGGAACCCGGGGGAGGATTAGAAGGAAATAAATGAAGCCGGCATGCGGCTCACAAGACAGCTGGACCGCAAAGATTTCGTCACAAGGCGGCAAAAGATGAGTGCATACGTACAATAATCGCCATGCTCATGGGACGGAGGGTTTGGTCAAACCGATTCAGACGTCCCAAGTTGTAGGTCTGCCTGGTCTGGAGCGAGACTGGAGGCTCGGAGGCTGGAGGCTGGAGCAATCTGGACTGGGGGGGGGACTTGGGTTACGTCGATCCGGGGCTTGGCGGGGCGCTGCCTTGGGACCAGCAGGAAGGAGCCACCTACTTGAGGGGACACAGTGCCAGGGAAGGCAAGTCACTCTAGGTCAGTGTGTACGTCGAAGCCAGGTATCTTTAGTCGTTTGCAACCAGGCCTTGCTTACTCGAGAGCCGAGAGAACTTTTAACAACCTCTACAACCCTGCAATCTCGACTCGCGATGCTGGCCAACAACGGCACTGTGTGCCTCCCGGAAGTCTTAAGAGGTAGGCAGGCGGGCTGCCTCCAGGCAGAGAATAACCAACTAATAGATTCACAGGGCTGAGCGCGTATGGTGCCACGGCTGGCAACATTGGAATGGCAGAACAGTAATAATCCAAGACGGACGGACGAATGCGGCGTACAATGCATCAAGGTACTCGCTATCTCTTACTGTTAGTAACTTTCGTCATGTTTATCTCGCAGCGTTATTATCACGCAGTATCAAAGTGTCGCCAACGAGCAGCTAACAGGTATCATCTCTGCCGCCTCCAGAAACCACTCAAAATGTCCAGTAGAACGCGCCGAGCATCGTCACATGTTCTACTTTTATGGTAGATACGACATCAGGCAGCTACATGGACGCCTCACTTGTCTCTCTCTCTCTCCCTCTCTCTGGCTATGTACAGTGTGCATGAGGACGG